GTCCGGACGTCTTCAAGTTGCCAAGGTTGAGAGACACTGTCCTAGACACTTCCCCATCTTCAAGTTGCCAAGGTTGAGAAACACTGTCCTAGACACTTCCCCATCTTCAAGTTGCCAAGGTTGAGAAACACTGCTCTACATCCCTGTTCATTCAGAGGAAAAAGATCACGTCAACCTGCTCGCTTGGCAAATTCAGAGCAGCCGGCAAAGAAATGAAAAAGTGGGAGGGTTTCCCCCCAAAGGCGCTTTTTTCCCCCCCAAGAGGCAACTGGATTTTCTGGTTTTGAAGACGTTTCGCTTCTCATCCCAGAAGCTTCTTCAGCTCAGAGCTTCAAAGAAAATCCAGAAAGTCCAGTTGCCTCTTGGAAAAAGCCCCTCGGGGGGCAACCAGGACCTGCATGATGGTGGTGGTGGTGGTGGAGGAGGAGGGAGGAGGAAGAAGAGGAGAAGAAAGAGGAGGAGGAGGAAGAAAAAGAGGAGGAGGAGGAGGAAGAAGAGGAGAAGGAGGAGGAGGAGGATTTTAACGCACAATGAGAGAGAGGGGTGGAAGAGGGATGGTGGCCATTTGGGCCCCTGCTAAGGCCACCAAGGAAGGAGGGGAGCAGGAGAGACGTCCACTCACCGCCTCCGTTGCGATAGCAGAGATACGGGAAGCGCCAGACGTTCCCCAGGCCCACGCAGTATCCCAAGCAGGAGAGCAGGAACTCGTACTTCCCTCCCCACGTCTCCCGCAGCTGGGGGGGCTCGGAGGCCGCTGTGGCATCCGCCACCAGGAAAGAGGGCTGCGTCTGGGGCAGGACGCTGGCCTCCAGGCCAGCCCCGTTCAGCTGGGCGACTCTGCCCTGCGGCCGAAGGAGAGAGAGAGAGAGGACAGCAGGCGTCAGGCACACAAGGGCCCTTGGCTGGCTGGGGAATTCTGGGAGTTAGAATCCAGGCATCTTCCAGGGGTTCCAGTGGGGAAAGCCTGGTTTAGGGGAGGGGGAGATGAGTTATTGCTGCTGACCCCTGGGGATCTCTTGAGCCAGGCATTCAGGAGGGGCTGCTGACCCTTGCTGCCTCCTTTGGGCTAAGAGGGAGGGACCGGCCCAAGGTCACCCGGCTGGCTTGGAGCTAAGGAGGAACTACAACCAGGCTGGAGAAGTTCTGAGCAGCGGTGGCCCAGTGGTTAGAGTGCAGTCCTGCAGGCTCCTTCTGCTGCCTGCCATTTGGCAGATCGAATCCCACCAGGCTCCAGGTTGGCTCAGCCTTCCCTCCTTCCGCGGTGGGTCAAATGAGGACCCAGATCGTTGTTGGGGGGGGGGGAGGCTCAGAGAGGGCTGGAGAGCCATGTGAAGCGGCATATAAGCCTAAGGGGCATTGCTGGTGCTGGTGCCTCCCCCACTGCACCAATCTGGCTGAGGGTTTGGGGTCTCCCAAAACGGAAGGAGCCGGCCAGCCCCCCCCCCCAACTCCGGAGGCCCTGCAGGCGAGGCTTCCTCTGGAGCTTCCCTGCCCTGCCTGGTTCAGGTCAGCCAGCCTGACCTGCTGGGCCTGCCTGACCAGCGGGAGAGAGGAAGGCTCCAGGGGATCCTCCTGCATTCCCTGCACAGCTAGTCCTTGACTTCCGACCGCAGAGCCGAGGTGGCGCAGTGGTTAAATGCAGCCCTGCAGGCTACTTCAGCTGACTGCAGTTCTGCAGTT